TTAGATATAATACATTACAGGTAATTTTCATAATGTTCGATTACGAGTATTTAACATTATGCATATTACTTTAGTAAACTATTAACTAATCTGTGATATTACTTTGACATATTATACATCTCATTCGTTAAACATTTTGTTAAACATAACAATTAATAACAATTATATCATAATATAAAATAAAAGGACAAAATGTATCATAAAATTAAATGATGCTACAAAAAACATACCCTCGTAAATTAATGACCTTCTTCGTTAAATGAATCTTCGACGAGTTGAAACGTAATGTACAATGCAGTCGGAAGTGGGCGGAAGGGTCGCGTGTCTGCAAACATCAAGGGATGACGAGAACAGTTTCCACGTGGCTTTCCCACGCCGCCACCCCACGGTCAATGGGAAACCCCACTTGTTGGTTTTGTGTAGTAATCGACCCCCTTATATCGTTTCCGGAAAGTGCGCCAATAACAATTACCCTTAAGTTCCTATGTTTATTACTATTTCGAGTTTTGTAAATCACATTATTTTTTACGTTTGCATATTGTTATTATCTACATCTATAATATAAAAATGAATCGCTGAATGTGTTGCTAAGCGCAAATCTCGAGAGCAGCTGAACCGATTTCGCTAATTCTTTTTTTATAATATTCCTTGAAGTACGGAGATAGTTCTTACGGAGAGAAAAATTTAAAAAATTGCATGAAAAAGTCTAAAAACAACACTTTTCTATATTCCCATACAAAAGATTCGTAATAATACTTAAAAGTCAATTTGAACTTTAATACCATATCATAAAGTTTAAGTTTTAGTGGAGGGGTTCCGGGAAGGCAAAACAATTGAGTGACGTTAGTATCGTATAAATATAAATGTCAATATTTGTCAATATTTATACTGGCAGATTGCTGATGTTATAAGGAGTAACTTGGGCTGCTTTTATTTTAGGGTTCCGCGAAAAATTACTCCACACGTGCGAAGTCGCGGAGAACAGCTAGTTACAGTATAAGAATAAGTTAAAGAAAACCTTATTTTCACTGATTCTCCGTAAAGTAAAAAAAAAAGTTGTGCACATAACTTTGGCCCAGCAATGATTAAAAATGTATCCCAACTGAGATCAAAATGTCTCATTCTGTATCGATCTGTTTTATTTTTAATTATATACTGCAAGTAATGAGTATGATCAGTCTCGTACATTTAGATTAAATGTATATTGTATTTAGATTAAATTTATATTTATTGTATAATATGTTCCTAAATATTTATTAAGCGACAGTAGATTTGTTCTGACCAAGAAATTAAAAAAAAGCATATTATGTTTGTTAGAGTAATTAACCCCCTATTTATTTTATTTATTATTAGTGTTAAGAACACTACGGATATTATTCTTTATAAATATAAAATATATCTACATAACATCCCATCAAAAGTCGACTTCTGGACATAGGCCTCTCCCTAAATTGCTTGAAAGGGAGAATTTGCCATTATTTGCCACGCTTGGCGAGCGGGTTAGCAACCGCAGGTTCTATTTGTTATTTCGAGTTGTTATTAGGAAGATGCAGCTGTTTATAGCCTGTTTTAGTTTTCCTCCGTTTCTAAAAATATGTGTATATTCATTCATATTATAATATAAACTATATATATATAATAAAGGATATGATAATTATAATATCATGCTGTATAATTCCTAAATTATTTAACATACACCATAACCCTGTTTGCAGTTTATACTCTGTTCTATGTGAATAAGAAATAATTAGCCAATGTCATTAAAAAAAAAGTCTTTCAACTGAATCGTTATTGTTGTAATAATACTAACGACGCCATAAAATTATTCATATTTAACAAATTTGTACGAAGAAGCGTATTTATAAATTTAATAATAAAGAAAAACGCAGAACATTTTAATTAAATATCTATCATTACTCAGATTAATTCTTCAACTTCTACTCTGTGTAATTGGCAACAAAAACTAAAATTTTCGAATGGCTAATGTTAAGCAAATGAGGAACTTAGGATATCATGCGGGCTAAATGAAGCTAAACCTTAGTTTTAAACAGTCTAAACTTAAGTTTGACCGCAACCTATCAGCTAAAATGTAAAATTAAATAAAAGTGAAAGAACAATAAAAGATGTTTTGCTAAAAAGATACACTGTTTGTTTAAACTATTTTTGTTTAAATTACATGGATAATTTGTGCTTATGCCATCACAAAGCCGGGAACATTTATATATTAATGATAATGTAAAGTTTATTGCAAATGAACATTATGTCGAATATTATCCTACGAACTAAACCTAAGATTAGCCGCGTAATCTTAAGCTTACTGTTCATATTCACAAGACCGTGTTGCCTGGCAGGCAGATGAAATCAAGAAACTATGGATGTTCCTTATGATGAAACTATGATTTTGGAATTAAGATGGTCCGAGGACCGGACTACTGTGTCGCGGAAGAGCCAACATTTGTCCACAAAAACGGTGGATTTTGGGTCTGGATAATATGTTGAGATCATAACATAATATGATCTCAGATTGATATATGATACTCGTAATATATTGGTTTAGTTAATAATTATTGTATTGTGCAACGAAACATAAAAAGGAAAAGTTTTATTTGACCTCAAGCTTATCTGATCTAAAATGAGTAAAGATCAAAGGTCACAGCATAGAATAGCCACATAAGCTTCAAAAGCCTGAAGAATAGAATTTGAAAATATCAGAAACATTTGCTGTTGCCATAAACTCATAAACGACCATGTTCTAAAATAGGATTGGTACCTATAATATGTTTGTTTGTGGGTACTAAGCAAAGAGAATGTAATCACTACGTTTGTATTATGTAGCGTTAGAATAGAATTAAATAGTTATCGTTTGTACTTATTCAATAAAAATTAGTTGCACAATAATTATTATCGAACGTAGTGATATCTTCTATTTCACTTTTCGTGCTTTCTTATAGTGCTTTAGTGCTTACCCGACAGCCCCAAAAAGGGGGTAATGTTTTTCGAATGTATGTCTATTTCCTAGTCACGCTCTGTAGTCTAAACGGGTGTCGTTGTAGGGCATAACATTTTTCAGTTTTCAGTAAACTTTTTACGCAGTCGTGTCATTTTTAATAACTGTTTTAACTATTACGTTTGTTATTTTAGTGGTTGTACCTACTATTTTAACAAAGGCATAATACAATAATGTTAATTTTATTATGTTCGAATTCAACTAAGCATTCGAATAAACGATTATTTATCCTAAATCATTGTAATTAGTAACATTAACACAATTGAAAAATATGTTAATTTTAAATATGAAGTCAAGCAATGCTTTTAAAGTAAAGCCTTTTAAATCACGCAGCTGCATTAACATTGAGTCACGATGTTATTTATCATTCTTTAAGTGCCATTTACACATTGTCGAGATTGTTAATAAGACAATAGAGAAAAAAGAACATTCGATGCTAATTTTGCACACGCAACCGCAAAATAAAATATTAGCAAATTCCTCGATTCTTCGACGGACTGCGCCTCAGGGTACGATTATTTTTTTATTGATGGATTTAAATTGTGGCTTAGAATTATTCTAAAACGAGCATTAGGGTCGAGTAATTTATGTGCTGTAGTTTAGCAGATTTAAATCAGGTGATGACCAAGGTTTCATGATAATGGTTCCAATTGTTTGTCAAATGTCAAAGATGGCATCATGACTATAAATAACTATTCTTTTCTTCCTTACCGGCCCGTAAAGGTTCATTACTGGACGTGGCCCTCTCTCGTTGTAGGAAGAATTTGCCATGAAAGTTATGTTTGGCAGGCAGATTAACGATATTCGTCTCCGGCCTAGGTAGTTTACGTCTAACCTAAGAGAGTTAGTTATACCGCAATCCTTTCGAAAGCCATAAGATCTATTTACATTTCCCATAGCTGCATCTTAAGATACTCTACTTTTTACGTGGTAGAGCCGCTGCATTTATATTATGGTTTTAGCACGAATGGGTCGGCTCGACCAGGGTGGGGACACGCTCTCACAGAATACCAGCGTAAAATAGCAGCTTAATGCTGCTGTGCTTAGTATGGTGAGTGTAGAGAACCACAGACTCTTTTTAGTGGAAACAAGGTATGCCATCTTAATCCTCAGGGGTGACAACACATTTGCATTTTGATTCTTAATCGAGGATAACTGTAGATGTCTATGGGCCCCAGCATCCACTTACCATCACTGTGTGCTCGTTTGGCATTGGCACCTTATTCTATCCAATATTCTATTTAAAAAAGACACGAAATGGGGTGATGTAGTATTATTCATTATCATCCACCGCCACCGCATTGTCTATTATTTTTATTTGTATTATTTAAAAGAATATTGTATCAGAGATAATCCAGAATGGAACTTATGAAAGCGCGGTGGCGCAGTGGCTAAATCGTTCGACTTCGACCCTCGGTTAAATATACCCAAATGCAATTTTTTTATATTTTTTTTTCAAAAACAGATTTGACTGCTAAGCATGGCGACTATGGCAAATCCTTCCAACGACGGGAGAGACCTTTGTCCGGCAGTGGATTGCTAGAAGAAAGAAGATGTGACTTCATCCTCATTATACCGTTATATCCTGTCCCTTGCAGAACATTTGCCACGCTTGGTAGGTGGGTTAAAAACCGCAGTTTTTATTATTATTATTGTCTTAGAACGATGCTGCTACCCACCTCTCCTTTCAGTTTTCCTCTGTCTCTTCTTACGACACCCACAGAATGATATTAGGATATTATTAGTGGGAGTGGATTCTCTTTTTACACTGCTACTTTACGGCATATCGAAATTTGGGTCATTTCATTTAAATTTCCAATTAATTATTAAATTAATTAATAAACGTAAACTAATCTATTTGAAAGTTGTCCGCTTATTTACAATGTATAAATTAACAAGATTAACGTTAAGTAGCTACACAATAGTAGATGTAAAGTAAAATAGAGGTACAGTCCCTATTGAGTAAATAAAACAATGGGACAGTTGTACGTACCTGCCAGTCCAGTCGCACTGATCACCAATCATCCCCGCCTCCGCAACGTATATCAGACTCAAAACCACTGGCCAAAAGTACACTACAGTCTCCGTATGCATTTTAAATAAATCAAATTAAACAGTCATACAAATAATTCCACAGTCCTAATGCAATCATATCACTATATTCAAAATATTGTTTTACCTAAGCTCCATTATTTCGATTACAAACATCTGATTTGACACAAAATAAACAAATCGCGCTCTAAAGTAACGTTAACGACAACCCTACAACAACTTTAAAATCGTACTGAGATATGACAGAAACAGAATTCACAGGCGGGAAGAAAGAGACAGAATTTGCCTTGTAAACGATCATATAAAACTCCGTACGAGTAAGAGAGACAAGTAAAGCTATTGTGAACGGACTGAACAGTACATTTTTGTTTCGCTTACACCTTTTCTTTATTATTCCATGCAATAATAAACTTTAATACATTGCAGGAGTGCGCAAATTAGAATACAAATTACAAAAAGCTTTACAAAAGCTTATTGAAAAGGCGGGAAAGGTTTCTTTACGGTTTACGCTCGAAGTTTTCTGTGTACAAAATCGGTCGTTTAAACTTAACTTTTTTTCCTACTTTCCTAATAAGTGTTATTCTAAGAAGATAAAAGTAGTATGATAGCAGATTTATTTTATTTTTCGTGCAGTTTATAAAAGTATAAACTGGCTAGGTAAATTCTAATTAGAAATTCATTTTAACATAATACAACATAGCATAAACTTTTGTTTACAGGCGTGAGTACGCCCGTCAGACAAAGGGTCTTACAATTTAATTATTTAAGAACTATTTTTATTCGTTTATTACCAAAATCATCATTAATCGCAAAATATTACAATTTGCATCATACTTAATCCGAATTGTTTTAAACTATGAAAATATTTTGCGTTCGAACAAAATATCGAAACACCGAATTATCTATCGACCCAAAGTAATAATGACTCATCCCTATTTTTTACTTACGTGACTTGGCACATCCCTAAAGTTGTGAAAGATATTATTTCCCATTCCAACTAACTAAAGACGTAATAGATGAACTTATGAGCTTTTGGGTATCGTTTCTTAATATCAGTAATTATCTGTGAATGATGTTCTTGTTTTTGCTATCTAATGGTTTGTTTTATAGTTTTAAAACGTTCTTTGTTTTTGCAATGCCAGTTAATTTTGTTTTAAAATTAGTTATATATATCTGCCTTATCATTTGAATTCTGATATTTTTTCAAATTAGGTGATATACCTAACTATAATGCCTATTAATAGTTAGGTGAATGCTAGGCAATTACTGTCATAATTTATTCCTTCGTTCAAAAACAAGCTGCGAACAAAAGGATTTTAAGTTACCATTTAATATTTATCATAATATGATTATGCGTGCGGTCATGTTTAAATAGATAAACTAAATCAATAGCTTGTGTTTGCTTGCCTGGTAGATAGCCGCTTTGTCGCCGTTGACTCGTGCTTGCTCAGGTCCTGATTCGGCTCCTTATCTCCTTTCGTCGCAACTTGACTTGTAGTATTTGACCGGAACAGAAAAAAATAATTAAACTGTTGTTTAGTTATTTTCATGTCGCACGTTACTCATTATTCCATTTAGTTTTTAAACTGGTACATAACGATTTTTTAAAAAGTTTTGAGAAATTGTAAAATTTATGAAATAAATGGTCTTAAATCTAAGTCAAGCCACATTAATAGATGTATATTTGCCGTGTGGTAGCGGCGTTAGAATTCTGCCAACCCCTTTCTTTCTGTGGATGTCGTATGAGGCGATTAAGGGAAAGAAGCGAAAAAAAGAAAAATAAAGAATAAGCTATGGCATCCGACAAATGCCGGACAACCATCTCAGTTCTTTTGTCAGGCCAAATATATCCAGATCTGTGATGAGCTGCAGCGTCACAGGTGCGACGTGACTGACACTGCAATCACCTCCTCAAAATGGACCAACTCCATTACATATAAGAACATAGCAGCATTAAAAATAGAGTTGAAAAATGTAAGATTCACGTTCTGAAGTATCTCCATCAAGAGTATCACGAGGGACATGATCTTTTAAATGGTGGATAAAGTCCTCCGTGACAACATTTTGGAAATTTTTAGTGTGTCTAGCTAGTCTAGGATAGCATATCTAGTTTTAAAACTAACTTAAAAATATACTATAGGGATTGTATAAGTCTACGTACCACTTTCGACACACTCGGACGACGAAGTTGACGCTATGTTTGAAGTCAGCGAAGGCTTACAACATCACTAAAGCCCACTTTAATGTTGCCATAAGGGTTCAACGCTAAAGTTGGGAAGCATACAGGTGTTGAATCGATTATGGGACCGCACAGTTATGGAAGCAGAAAACACGGGTGGTAAATGTGGACCAACTGCCTCGAAAAGGAGAGGCTTTATCCAATTAATTCCTATTTTCAAAAAAAAAGCCCCAAAGAAAGTCGAACTGGTGCAGCCCCGACTACGCTCCGAAAAATATCAATCGAATTAATACCGGAAGCTATTGAATGAGTCAGTCTAATGAGATCTTCGCTCCGACCAAATGTGTTTCAAACTGTAGCGGGATTTCAACGTTTCCAGTTGAAACTCTGGAATCGATTCGACGCCCTAAAACCCACTTGACATTAACAAGGATCTCACTACTGTGGTCAATATCTTAAGACATGAGGGGAATAAGTTACGTAGTAGGTTACGGACGGAAATCTAAGCTCCCAGGCGAGACACTTCAGATTATGTAAAATAGACGTGAGGCAACCACAGCCGTGCCATTAAAATAGTTGGCACTCACCAGACTTCAAGGAATGATGTACGGTGGGACCTGCAAGTGCTCCAATGCAACCTTTATTCAAAAGACAATAGAGCAAAACAAGAGTCTCAAGATCTTGGCTTGAAATCTTGGGAGGAGCCACATTACCAAACTAAAAACATGTAATGGCAAAACACTCACGCCGAAGCCTCAAATTCTCGTCGAGATCGAAGGTTATTAGGGTACACTATATGCCTCCCAAAACCAGCACCCTGACCCTAAATACGATAATCTTAGAGACACACCTAACCCACCACATTACAGACAAGTTGCCAGATATCTATCTAAAGGAAATCGAGTTGGCCCTCGGGCAATTCTTGGACAGCAACGAGAGGACGGAATTACAACAGAGGTCTTGAAAGCAGGAAGACAATCATTGCTAAAAGAGCTCTGTCAAATTTTCAACTGCGTCTTACGAGATCGGAGAACTCCAAATGCGTAGAACAGAAGCAACACAGTCTTGTTTTACAAGAAAGGTGACGGTGACCACGAATCGACTCGCACGGAGGCTTGACGAAGTTCAACCACCCGAGCAAGCTGGGTTTTGAAGAGGCTATGGCACCATAAAACACATCCACACAATAAGGCAAACTTTACAGAAGACGAATAAATACAAGCAGCCCTCATGTCTTGCCTTTGTGGAATAGGAGATAGAGAAACATCCAAAATTGGGCTGTTATGGGTTCCTTGCTGCATTGCCGGATTGACTGGCGATACATAGATTTCTTGAGATATCTAAGACACCACTAGCTCGATCTCCGTCTAAGTAAAGGGTGGTCTTACAAAACCTATTCAGCTGCATCGGGGAGTGAGACACTATCCCAGAAACTGTTCACAAATGCACTTCCTTACATTTTATATGATGTTATATGTATGATGTTAAGAATTTAACAAAACTTCATAAATATAAATGCACTATAAGATGTTTTTTAGACACTAAACTAGAATGGACGCAGCATCAATGTAAACCACGAACACAGCTCACACTTACGCTTTGCCGATGATATCGTTGTCATGGAAAAATCGCTGCAGCATGTTTTGTAACTACAACACATGCTAAGCAGCCGAAATGAATCCTCCCAACGTGTTGGACCGAGTATGAATTTAAAAGAGATGAAAGTCATGTTTAACGGTCATGTCATACCGTTATCGATTATCGATGATGGTGAGATTCTTGAAGTTGTTCAAGAGTATATCTACCTCGGTCAGATAGATAGAGCAGTTAAATAGAAACAACTTCGAGAAAGAAGCTTCTAGATTCAGCTGGTCAGCCTCTCGGGTCATATGAGGCGACTGGGACTCCGTGACGGACCGCTCCGGTCTCAAATGCAGAAGGCGGTGCTCCTCGATACCGCCCGCATCGTCCGCCGATTTCTCTCCCTTTCCCCCTAACTCTCGGCCGTTTGGTCACTACTGCCGAGGGCTTCCATATGGTTGGCTTTTTCTTTATTTACATTTTCTTTATGTAGTTATTTCACTATATTAATATATTTATATTTATGTACATTTATCATTTCCATTTATATATTTGTGCAGCCCAGCCAGATGAGAAAACTATTTAAATACCCCCCATAATAATAAAGTCTTCGACCAGTGCGTCCTGTCTGAAATAACATATGGTGCTGAAAAGTTGAAACTAACGGTACGACTACTCCACAAACACAAAGTCACGGCGATGGAAAGAGCTATGCTTGGAGTTTATCTGGTGGATAAGATTCGTAACGAAGAAATCCACCGACGTAACCTTCCGTATTTGCAAGCTAAAGTAGCAATGGGCTGGTCACATCTTTACAGAAGTGATGACCGTTGGAGAAGGCGTGTCATAGTGTGGAGACCGCGCTTAGGTAAACTTAATGTAGGACGCCCCCTGGCTAGCTGGAACGACGATCTACACAAGGCGACTGGCGGCAATTGGATGCGTGAATATGAAGATTGGGCCTTGAAAGAGGCCAATGACGACGATGATAATGGTGAATAGATAATACCCAAGAGAAGCCGGAGCAGGTCGCTAGTAATAAATAAAAGTATATCTGTATGTGTATGTACTCGTATCTGTAAAAAGTTTTGGACGACACTACTTTCACATCACACAGAATGCCTCTTTTTCAGTAAAAAGGGTCTCCCGTTCTCTACACTCACCATACGAAACATCAGTGTTAAGCTGCTATTTTACGCTGGTATTCTGTGAGAGCGTGGTCCTTCCCCGGTCGAGCTAACCCATTCGTGCTACAACTATACAACTAATATAGCTGCAGCAT